AATAGACAACAACCAGAGTACAGCATATGGCTCTCAAAGTGTGGCGTCAGCATCTCCGAACCTGAACGTCTGTTAGAAAGGCAGGATCTCAGGCCCCACTCCAGACCTAACTGAGTCAGAAGCTGCAATTTCACAAGATCCCCAAGTGACTCGCAGGCACACTGAAGTCTGAGAAGCACTGCCATAGGGTGAGTGCTCTGTGGAGTAAAATCAATGAAAACGAGGTCATGGTGCACTCTTCCCACTGCTGCAGCAATGCTCAAATTACATCACCAACAGTGGAAATCTGCCCACTGCTTTCTAATGCAGGCCTCACTGCAGTCATCTGAGACTCTGGTGCTGGTTTCGTTTACTGTGACCTCTGAGAACCATCCAAAGCTCCAATTCTTGAGAGTGGGGATGTGAGAATTAGCTCCATCTCATACTGAAGCACACAAATAATTAATGCTTGGTAAGCAATAAGGTCATTGTGTACAGGGCTGTTCTAGTCCTTTTCCACTCAAGATGGCACCGTTCAGCTGGATCTGTGCTTCTGAACTACTTTTAATAAATCCTTTATGTGGCAGAGGAATCGAAAGGGAAGCACTATTGATCGAGAACACTGGGACTATAGTTTAGTGAAAGAGAAAATAACTTTGGAGTTGGACAGGACCAGATGGAAATTCCCGCTCCATCAGTGGGGGTGAAGAGGGATGGGACTCTTTCCAAATCCCTGAGATCTCCGTTTCCTTATCTATAAAAGGGAAAATTTCCCTCCACTTTATGAACTAACTTAATCATCAGCTATTTGCTGAGTCCCACTAGGTGCCAGGAGCTGAGGATAAATATTGAACCAACAGAGCTCAAAGTGCCCTGAAGAAAGCCAATCAGTAAGCAACTATGTTGCATCATGATAAAGGCTACAACAGGAAGCCTGAGATGCCACAGTCTCTCCTGTAAAACGCTCAGACTTGAAAGTCAGGCAGAACTACTTGACCAGTATATACACTGAGGACTTACCTTTGAAAAGGAACTAGGTAAACCAGGAGGAGCAAAGAGAAAGAGAGAGCATGTAAGAGAGAGGCTGGAGGCATAAATTAAAATGGGTCAGATAAAGAAGGGGTTTACAAGTCACACTTAGGGCTTTGAATATGTTCCTGAGAACAATGGAGCAGCTGAAGGGTTTTAAAGCGTGAAACAGGGTTGGAATATAATAGGCTTGCCTTTTATAAAGTGATAGTAAGGCAACAGGGGCACTGGTGGTTCTGTGGTAGATTTCTTGTCTGTAACATGGGAGACCCAGGTTTAAGGTCTGGCCAGTGCCTCTCCTGCAGTCACACTGCCCAGTTCTCAGTGGATGTTTCCATGTTGCTAGAATGCTGAACAGGTTTCTTTCGGTGGAGCTTCCAGACTAACACAGACTAGGAAAGAAAGACTAGCAATCTACTTCTACAAGTCAGTGAAAATCCTATAGATCATAACATTCTGGTCTGCACCGGTTGCCACAAGTTGGAAACTGACAGCCACAATAAGGCAAGAGACAAAAAAAAAAGCATGACAGCCCTCAGTAACATTCAATTCCTTTTGGTATTTACCTGGGCAAAAATGTAACAACATTTTGAAGTGATCATGAAGTCAGCCCACTCAAAAGAAAAACAATGTGTTCCTTTTTCCCTATTAGCAAAGTCATATCACACAATCTACTGGTTGTTTCATAAAAAATAGACTGGCAGAGGAAATAGGGCTCTTTACTTTTCAGTAGTGTAAGGAGCTCTGGTAGCGTAGTGGTTACGAATCGGACTGTGAACCTCAAAGTCAGAAGTTCAAAACTACCAGCTGTTTCGCAGGAGAAAGATGAGGCTTTCTGCTCCCATAAAGATTTACAGCCTTAGAAACTCTGGACAGGGTCACTATGAGTCAGAACCGACTCCATGGCATATAACCACCACCATCATGGTCTTCTGGTATCAACACTCATGGAAGCAGCAGTCAAGAAATCAAACGACGTATTGCATTAAGCAAATCTGCTGCACAAGACCTTTTTAAAGTGTTAAAGAGCAAAGATGTCAGCTTGAGGATTAAGGTGCACCTGACCCAAACCATGGTATTTTTAATAACCTCATATGCATGCAAAAACTGGACTGTGAATATGGGAGATCATAGAAGAATTGATACCTTTGAATTGTGGTGTTGGAGAATACTAAAAGTGCCATGGACTGCCAAAAGAACCAATAGATCTGTGCTGAAAGAAGTGCAGCTAGAGTGCTCCTTGGAGGCCAGGATGGCCAAACTTCATCTCTCATACTTTGGACATGTCAGGAGAGACCAGTCGCTAGAGAAGGATATCATGTTTGATAAGGTGGAAGGTCAAAGAAAAAGAAGACCCCAAGAGAGATGGATTGGCCAAGTGGCAGCATCAATGGGCTCAAGTATGTAAGGCAACAATTGTGAGGTTGTCCCAGAATCAGGCAGTGTTTTGTTCTGTTGTGCATAAAGTCGCTATGAGTCAGTACTTGATGGCACCTAACAACAACAAATGGTTAACAACCAGCAATTGTATATTTTCTTAAATGAAGCAGGTGGCCAGGGCTATGATATGTGACTATAGGAACCAAGTAATTCCTTAATTACCTATTTTTGGTTCGCAAACAACATCCATCTTTCAAATTTCCTAACATTTATTTCCTTTATCTAATTACTTTATAAATCATGTACTAGGTGTGATTCTTAGTACGTGATTTATAAAGTAATTTAAAAAGTGAAGTATGGATCTAAGCATATGATTTATAATGGATCTGGGAGTGCGGTGATTCCATATGATAAACACTGGACTTTGAACCACAGGGTCCGCAGTTCAAGCCCACCAGACACTCTATGGGAGAAAGATGAGGCTTTCTGATTCTGTGAAGATTTAAAGCTCAGAAACACTATACAAGTTCTCCATGAGACAGAACTGACTCAAAAGCACTTAACAACTTAACAACAAAAAGTATGGATCTATACAATAAACACTAAACTGTTAAACTGCTAATCACCAAAGTTCAAACCAACCAGTCACTCCTAGAAAACCCTACAGAGGTTCTCTATGAGTCGGAACCAACTCAACAGCATTAACAACAACAACAACAATTCTACACAGGGAACACACAAAGATCAATATTCTATGCATTTTTGTTGTTGTTATGTACTGTGGAGTTGGTTCTGACTTACAGCGACCCTGTACAGGGTTTCCGAGGCTGTAAATCTTTATGGGAGCAGAAAGCTTCATCTTTGTCCCGCGGAACAGCTGGTAGATTCGAACTGCTGACCATGAGATTAGCAGCCCGATTTGAAACCACTACGCTATCAGAGCCCTTTATTCTAGGCATTAGTGACCTAAAATGGACTGGTATTGGCCATTTTGAATCAACAATCATATGGTTTACTATGCCTGGAACGTCAAACTAAAAACGAATGACATCATATTCATCATTAAAAAGATTTCAAGAACTAACTTGAAGTATAATGTTGCCTGTGATAGGATAATATCCATATGTCTACAAGGAAAATCAGTTAATATCACTATTATCCAAATTCACACACCAACCACTAAAGCCAATGATTTTGAAATTGAAGCATTCTACCATGTTCTTCATTCTGAAATTGATCAAACATGCAGTTATGATGCACTGATAACTACTGGTGATTGGAATGCAAAGGTTGGAAACCAAGAGGAAGGATCAGCAGTTGGAAAATATGGCCTTGGTGATAGAAATGAAGCTGGAGATTGCATTATAGAATTAACAGGACTAACCATGTATTCATTGTAAATACTTTTTATTAAAAAAAACCTAAAAGGCAACTTTGGTGTAGCACTATGGAATAAAGCACTGGACCGCAAAGATTGTTTGAACCTCAAGGTTGGCTGTTCAAAGGCACCAGCCACTTCAGAATTGACTCTACAGCACTTAACAACATAAATATGGACCTCACCAGATGGGATATACAAGAATCAAATGGCATCTGTGGGAAGAGATGGTGGAACAGCTCAATATCATTAGCCAAACATGGCCAGGTGCAGTCTGTGAACAGACCACCAATTGCTCATGTGCAAGTTCAGGCTGAAGCTGAAGAAAATGAAAACAAGTTCATGAGAGCCAAAATATAACCTTGAATACATCCTGCCTCAATTTACAGATCATCTCAAGAACAGATTTGATGTATTAGACACAAACAACTGACAACCAGAAGAGTTGTAGAATGACATCAAGAACACTATACAGAATCAATGCCTCCTGTTTTGTTTTGTTTTTAACATTCTCTATTTATGAGTGTCTTATAATCACCTAAAAGTATCATATGTAGGTGGAATTCATATTTGTCATTCATTTTGTCTTATTCCAGCTCTTTTGTCCTTGTTTGTTGTTACGTGTCATCAAGTTGATTCTGACTCATAATGACCCGACTACATAGGATTTTCCAAGGAGTGGCTGGTGGGATTGAATTGCTAACCTTGTGGCAAGTAGTCCAGTGCTTATCCAACAGCACCACACTCCAGCTTTAAACTAAACTAAATAAATATTTTGTTGATAAAATCAAAATGAGAAGAATTTACTGATTCAGGTCTTATAATTTGTAAAGGATTCATAAATAAGATTCTTTTTAGAGGCTATTTACAATGTACATTAAAGGGGCTGTGGTGGCGTAGTGGTTACAAGTCAGGCTGCTAATCTTATGGTCAACACTACCAGCAGTTCAGAAGGAGCTCTGGTAGTGTAGTGGTTACGAATCGGGCTGCAAACCTCAGGGTCAGCAGTTCAAAACTACCAGTTGCTCCACGGGAGAAAGATGAGGCTTTCAGCTCCCGTAAAGATTTACAGCCTCAGAAACTTTATAAACAGGGTCGCTATGAGTCAGAACCAACTCCACAACACATAACCACATAACCACCACCACAATATACATTACGATTTTTTTCACTGCCATTGGCGTTATTTTCATTTATATGTCACAATAAAATTATCACATTAGACATCACTCACCTGAGCATCCTGTTCTACCTGTGCTTCATTAATTCCAGAATCAGGGTCTCGATTAGCCTATAAGAGATAATATAAGACAGTATTGAATTTGATAATCATTTTCATTCAAAAGGGAAAAAAATGTTTCCATCTGATTTGGTATGTACATACAGGTTTTTCTCTTAGGAATAATATGCAATATTTGCTTTTTCCAAAATAGTATCATCCTACAATATTCCACACTATCACATAGCACTGTCCAAAACAAATCTGATATGCCCGAGTTACAAGTCTGATGATTAACAAAGGCTACTGTTACCCTAAAAAAAAAACTATGTTCTAGCTATTACGAGTTTAAGTCACACATTTTGAAACACAGCCACAAGCTTCATTTGGTTAGAATCATCACTGACCACACTAAGAGTTAGCAAGCAATGAAAATTATTAAAAGATTCAGGCCAGTGTAGCTACAGATTTTGTGACCAATCAATCAAACTATAATTAGTCCCCACCCAATACCTGCAGGAGGACCACTAGCATCCTCTGGTAGAACCCTGATGTGTCCCCCACCACATCATCTTCCAGACTTGAGCCATATTCTGCAACAGAATAATTTCATACTTAATTTACAGCTTCTTTAAGCTAGAAAATGATGCACATAAACAAATGGAAGAAACATAAAGGAAGAAATCATGTTTTTGATTAGCATAAATTCTCTCAACTTCACCTCTGAGCACTCAAAATACTAAAGACAAATGTTTAAAGTGGGCAGTTGGATAAAAATGAATTAAAGTCTTAAAAGTCATAGATTGAAGCCTAAATCACGACTCAGCCACTTATAAATGCTCTCAGCCTACAGAATGATTAATCTGTTTACACAGGAAAGCCTCTTCAAGTGTAATCACTCATAATTCTAAACTCTGGCTTTGCTTTCTTTCTAATATTTCATATTATTAGTTCTAAACCGTAGTGGTTACGAATCGGGCTGCGAACCTTAAGGTCAGCGGTTCGAAACTACCAGCTGCTCCGCGGGAGAAAGATGAGGCTTTCTAC